CCTTGCATAACCGCTTTGTGGAGTTCTTTACCACCGGCGATTTTTACGGACCGATACGACTTAGGGACCTTTAAGTAAAGACCTTACTCCTTTCTAAAAGGTCGGCAACGCATCTGCAATTCCTCTGGTGGTGCAGTTGTTCATGGGCAGTGGTAGTCACTTACCAGCAGGTGAGTCGCAAGCTTGTTTGTCCCCCATACTAAAAAAAAGATTGGTTGCCGTGAGCGAACTTCGGCCTGGGGGACATTATTTTTATAATAGCGTTACCGTTACATCCTATTAAAGTCCACTGCTGCACATAGGTCTCCTCATAGATTGCTTAATGGGGGGGGGGGCAGAATTGCCATAGTTGCCTCGGTTGGCTAACCAGTAACCACATTTTTTTAATCGTTATTAGGAGGATGCTGCCGCCCATTTCCTGATTTATTACCCTCTGTCGCCTCTTGCGGCACCCACAGGATTGTATGGGGTAGTGGATATTCTTACATCGTCACTTCACGGCATCATTATTATTGTATTATATGTATAATACCAAAATTGGCGTCGAGAAGCGGTGTCCAAGTTACACACTATACAATACGTCTGGTACCATCTTTTTTCTACTGAGCGCGACAATTTTGGTAAGTTCCTGCAAAGGGAGATGCCTATATTCAAGTGGATTATGACAGGTTGATGATGCTGATATGATAACGGCACGGGTAGCATCCAAACTGACTTAAATGCTTTAAAGTGAAGCACGCATCTCATCTCTTTAACATATCAATATAGGTGGAGTATTGACCGTTGATTCTAGTCAAATGAATAAAAAGACTAGACTGTCCAGAGGCAGTAAAACAATATCCACTCTGCCATATCGCCCTATGGGCGTCGTAAGAGGCGAAAGGGGGGAACGAACCAGGAGATGTGTAGTTCAGCTGCGGCATTTTTAAGCTGTAACGTAATAAAATTAATATTATCATATACTTTAATCGTGTTATGTCAGGGTAAGCAAACTTTCGATGAGTGACACTAGAGTAGATGGTAGTAGATGGTAAGTAGTTATAGTAACTCAAAAAAAAGAAGGCTACAGATGCGTGTGGCATTCCGTCTATTCAGAAGTACCAACCACATCCGAGTCGATGGAATGCCTTACTTTCTTTCCCAGCAATTCTTTTTTGCCCAGGTGTAAGAACATATAAAGGTTAACGAAATGGTGTGACATACATAAAAATTGCAGAACTGAATTACTACATCAAATTCCAACGGATTAGAGGCAAAGCCGGCGTTACATGGAGGGCGGGAGGCAGTCGCGTCTGCTCAGCCGTCTCTTGGGCAGGCTGCGGGGCGATCATCATCGGGAGACACTGGACCATAACTTCTCAATGACATCAACCGCGTAAGTTATAAGAATATTCATCACGATACCAGACTAAATAATAATAATGTCCTCCAGATAGAATTTCGGTCGCGGCGGCTAGTCTCAACGGAGACTTACAGGATTATAGTGCCCAAGTGTATATATAGGGAATAGAGAGTACACCTGTTCTAGTCTATACACAGGTGTACTCTCTATTCCCTCGTTCTCATAGCCCGATGGGATGATTATATAATATGACCGGAGGGAGGTAAGGCGGACCAACTTTACATGATTTCCGAGGTTCGGAGTTGAAACAGCGACAACTTCCTGACCTCAGAGATGCTACTTACAATTTCTTGACAACAAAACCCAATAATCGATTTTGCTCGAACCCGGATTCGAATCCGGCACTTTATGGTCAACAATCGTGTTTATGATCACTAGATTTTAACGAAGCAACCGAGCAAATTACGGCTACGGCTACGGTAGTTTATAAGCTAAGCCGCGAGGCCGCGGGTCCGAATTCTGCGGATGGATGTATGTAAACCCCTGTCAATATTAGTAAATACTGGTGTGGAAGCGCATTTAAAAAAATAATTATAATAAAAAAGTAAAAACTGACTTCAAAGAATTAGAAAAAAATAAATAATTTCCACATAATAGCAAAAAGAAAAATAAAGGCTCCGACTTCAGAAGTTATTACGGGTATGTAGAAATTTTCTTCATCTTAGTTGTCCGCAGTCAGTAGCCGGTTTAAGGTAACAACTAAAATGTCTAACCTTTACAAATTCTCAAATTAAAATAGCACCACCCCGGAGGTATAATTAAACCCAATTTAATTGATATAAAATAATTAAATATCATACATAATTTAATATAAATAATTAAAAATCGCATAACAATTATTGGCAAAGTTGGCGCGTGACACACATACAAAATAATATACCTACAGTCGAATTGAGAACCTCTTTTTATTGAAATCATTAAATATTGCGGTTCAACATCCTTTACTTGGATAATAAGAGTTCAAGAAGTAAATAAAATAAAAAGTTGAAGATGTTAAAGTTATTTAGCTAAGATCCACGTAAAATGTAAAAATGACGTGTCTCAGCTAGAGAGCACCTGTCCCTCAGTTGCGTGCACTATTCTCGTCACCACTAATCCCAACACCACTACTCCAAACACACTAGGAAAAATATACCAATATTTCTTCTGATGACTCCTCTTTTAGAGGCGAAACGCTTGTCATATTATCGACAGTGGTTTGTTTTTTCTATTGTAGTGACGTCGGGTTAAGTGGCCACAGTTATAGTGCACGCAGTTGCAGGAGCAAGGGAGGTACTCTTCAAACTAGGCAAGGCACACCAATTTATTTTTCAAGCAGATCTTATCTATTAATTTACCCATTTTAATATAAAATAATCTATAGAAATAAAATAGAGCATTTTGTGAAAGCAGCTGTAGTACCGACAGTACTGGATTCGTCACCGCGAACGATGAAGAAGATGCTCCAGCACCATCACCTGTTCCAGAACCAGCGACCTCCACCTCCCCCGCAGATGATGATCAGTTCACTGCTAATATCGATCTAAGGTTAGATTGCACTTTCAAATTTAGCCAAGTGGATTTTTTCCATTTACCATCCTCTACACAACAAAAAAAAAACGGATCTATTCCATAGTACAACGGATTGACGACACATTGCTGGAAATCCAGTAAAGTATTTAAAAAGTACTGATATCATGAAAACTGCAGATCTGTGGGGGATTTTCGTTAAAGATATTGCGTCTATAATAGATACAATCGCACCTTAACTAGCAATTGTTTTTAATACTAGTATCGAATCTGGCGTGTTTCCTGATTTAATGAAGCATAGTAAAGTAGTACTTTTATTTAAATCCGGTAGTACATCGGACTCCGCCAATTTTAGATCAATTTCTTAATGTAAAAACTTAGTAAAATAAAATAAAAATATTCTTGATCAAATGTAATTTTTTTTAACGTAAAATATTTGCTTCATAAAATCAATTCGGTTTGACTAGAGGTCGCTCGACAACAGATGCTGGTGTAGAGCTTTGTAGTAGCAGTAGATTAATGACTTACTTTACATAATTATATTAAATATTATAATATAATAATAATACTATACCATGATGCAGTATTATTTGCTGATGGTATGATAATGATGACGCACGTTTGTTTGAAGTTATCTGCTATCAGGTGGACTGTAGATTAGCTTTGTCACTTCATTTTATTAAAAAAAAGTACGTGATATCTGGTAAAGAAATGCAATACTCAAAGGTACTCCGGATCAGGATATATTTTGTGTCACAGATACGGCGGGCAATACTTGACACCAGAGCAGCTACCTGAGTTCTGCAACCAGCTCCATCACCTGGTGGAAGTGATCAGAAACATACAGTCGTACGCCAAAGTGACGGGAGAGTATCCAAGGTATATTGCAGATATTTTACATAGAAAGTGTTCGCTTTGTAATATGGCTCTTTTCTATGCTAGGGTCCGTTTGGGTTGACATACCCCTTACATATTTCTACCGTTACGCAATGCTACTTGCCTTAATCTCATTTAAATAATTTACAGTTAGATGTAGGCCATTCCCATAATAAACAGATCCCTAAAATAGAAGGCTATGTACCAGCATTGGATCTTTATGGAATGATGAAGAAGAAGACCGTCATTAGTGGGGTGTCGTCCCACACGCTTACCGCTATGACGCTGCCACTCGAGATCCTTCCCCCCATTAACAGTGATACAAAGATATTAAAAATTATTCTATTCTATTCTTACTTTATATTTTATTATTATAAGCGACAATAGCATAATGGTTAAGAATGCGGGTTGCGAAGTTACATTCGTGGGTTTGTTATATGAAATATTAGTAATGTTAATAGAGTATTACTAGTATTTTCATTTTATAAAAATTTATTGTGTTGTATTGTATCGTAAATACGCTTCGTTGGCATAGTGGCCGTAAGCATGATTGTCAATCTTGTGGTCACGAGTTCGAATTCCGAATCGGACCAAAATCATGTATTGGCTTTTTCACGAAATTCTAAGTAGCGGCCTGGAGTCAGAAAGTCGGCGGTGTTTTACAACCGTGCCTTTGAAAGGAAGTAAAGCCGTTGTTTCTGCGCCTGATCTCTCTCCAGTCCTGTTGGATTGCCGTCTTATCGGACCATGATTGATGACGAAGGTAAAGTAAGTTTGTGAGTTGGATCATTTCTGTACCACACGGTTCAAAATACAAAGAGATGGAGGGTCAGCTGGAGCGCATAACTGTATGTTTGTTGGTGTGGTAGCGCTGTCATCGCGCCATTAGCGTAACGCACCGAAGCCTTAAATCACGCTATGGAAATTCCGAAGTACCGCGGAATATATAGAATATCTTTTATATTACCACAGGGCGCGTTGGCCGCTCCCCGTGCCGAACACCACTTTGGCCGTGGAATGAAAAGGAGAGATCAATTCTATATCTTTCTATTATACAAAGCTATTTTATATATACCACGGTACTTTGGAACTTTGGTAGTGTGATTTAGACTTTGGTGCTTTTCCCTTGTCGGCGTGACAACAGCGCCGCCCCAGTGGGTAGGATAAAAATCTGCAGAGTCCCAAATACAAAGAAATTGTATTGCTCAGTGAGATGGAGAGGCTGCTGGAGCGAGAGGCACGCGAGGTGGCCGCTCTGGCGGGTGAGGCGCGGCACGCGCGGGACTCTCTGTCCCGCACGCGCACGCAGCGTGCTGCCCTGCTGTCACTGCGCCAACACCTCGCCCGCCACCTCGAAACGCTCAGGCACACAGGTAGACCCAATCAATACAACTAAAGCTAAGCTTGTTGTAATCAAAGACTTCTATGAATACTAGTAAACTTTTATGTATTCTTTAGGCGGTGGTATGTGCCAAATCGATTGAGAAAAACGGACAATGACCTCAGATATGAGCCGAGTGTCAAAAGGCGTAACTTACAAAATCTCAATTTAGATGTGATAACTATATTTAAATATTGATATTATTCACACTTCCAGGTCAGCACATATGTTTTGTTATTTGTTTCTTAAATAATATTGTCTGTGGTTCCTATAAACATCGTAAAATCTTACGGTACATCGCGAAAAATGTGTTATATTTTATATTTCAATTTATGATAGTAACGCAGCAATTCATTTAATAACAATTTCATATTAAAAAAAATTGAAGCAATATAATCACCATATTGAGCTTTTGCAAATTCATCCCTTTAAAATAAACAAAACGCGCGTTACGTCAGTTCGTTCTAAAAGAAACGTGACAATGGCAGCCAGAGATACGTCACCTTTTTTGGGCCGGACCGCCGCAGATGTGAAAGGGTACGTTGCACGAAAAAATACAACTTTCTATTAAACAGATGTTAAAAATTTACTTAAAGATGATTTAACTCAAATCACGCCAGATAAATGGAAAAACTGTGTTCAGCATGTCCTTAAGGTTGAACAAAAAATGCGTAGCATCACTGATAGAATTGACCAAACTGCAGATCGCTTTATAATTAATGTTACAGACAGTTCATCTGAATACACGTCAAGTGAAGATACGAGTGATGATTGCACCGAATAAAAATAAAATTCTCATATAATATTCAAAATAAGCTTTTACCTTTTGAATAAGTACGTATTTATTCGGTATCGTTATCACTCGAATCTTTATATGTGTTATAAATTAATGCTTTTAAGTACTTTATAACAATAGATGATTTTTCTTCTACAGCGATCTTTTACATAACTTTTTTAATAATAATATATATTATATTATTATTAAAAAAGTTTTAGTATTAATAAATATATATTATATCAATCATTATAAAAAATAATAAAAATCATTATAAATAAATAAATGTACTACATATAAAATGTGCCTATATGTTGAAGGTTTGTAACCCCTGGCAAAATGACCGAAAGGTCATTTTCCGTTTTTCTCGATCGATTTGGCACGTACGTATAGTACGATACAATGTGCCACGCGGTTGTATTTTCATTTACGACAGTAATTAGACAGTATTTAGGGAAATACGAAATAATTTACGTACTTATCTGAAATAAACTTAAAATCACGTTGAAAGAGTGCTCACATGATACTCTATTTACATGGTATGTCATGCAGTTGTATTTTAATTTAATTAATGACTTTCATTTGAGAACGGATACTGCCTCTCGAGGTCTCATATCACAGCGCGTTCTACAGCTGTGACATAGCTTATGTTCTGAATTACGAATCTAGTAGTATACCTGAGACCTATGAAGCTGTAAAAGCCAAAAGGGTTCGCCTTTTGGCTTTTAACATTAGCATTAATATCATCAGAAACCGAATGGATTCCGATTTTGACCGTTTTGTGCCGTCTATCACTTGTTAATATTTAATTATAAAAAATATTATATGTACTTACCTATATCGGTAACAATTTTTTATAATGTGAAATGGTTTATTAATTTAGAATATTGTAATTAACATGCGAGGAAGAGCGGACTCTTCGAATCTCAATAAATGTACATCGATCTTTTATTCTCAACAGAAATTCGCGAATTGGAGAATCTGGTGCGCGTATCAGACCGCAAGTTGTACAGGAGTTGGGAGGCTCTAAAAGATTCTTCAGATCCGGCTGCCTTTGAGCCGTTACTGGACGAAGTCAAGGTAAGTTTATTGATTTCAGAATGATCGGTATACTGTACCGTTTAAGGATTTTTATAATAGAATAAGGGTGATGGTAAGTGGATGGCACCTAATGAGTTTTACAAATTACGCAACACTCGCATTATTACTAAAAAAAAATAATTATTATATAACTAAAATCAAACATATTCAAACTACACTAAATACTTTATTTTTTTCGTTCAAAAGTTTAAAATACTGAGATACGATTTAAACTACTTATACAATAGACTTTGGCAGATTATGTCAATTTTAGTTCCCGGCATGAACAATGGCTGCGCTTCAAATCAGCACAATTATTTTGTATAGCCAGTCCAGCGTACTTGTACAATATATAGAGGTCAGCGGTGGAGGTACTTTTTTTTAAATAATAATATATAGGTACTTATGTCATGATAATATAATGTTCGGATACCGTGATGCGCAGTAATTACGTTTCAAAATATAGGCCACAAATTAATATACATATATGTAGCAAGCTAATATGTGCCAGAATTTACGGGTTTGGGTGCGTGACAGCTTCGTATTACACTCGCCGTAGTAAAAACAGAATAGAAGGTTATCTTCTAAGAAATGTACGGGACGCCGTTAATAAGTGTGCACGGCACGTGACAGTACGGACTCGTACTCATGAGCCACAGCACGCACACAACGACAGTTGCTAAGTCGAGAAGATTGGGCCAAGTCGGTGCCCACCCCCGCTCTCCGCAATCAATGCTAAAACTTTGCTAGCAGCCCTTTTTTCGTTTTATTTTCTCTTTTTGTAAAATAAATTAGTATATGCGTTTGTTTAAGTAAATTAACTTTTTATCAATTGGTAATATATCTATACACAGATGCATACATCATAAATACATTAATTAGTATATCACATCAAATCAAATTAATTTTAAACATTGAAAGAGCTGACATCATATACTCAGTGTTAATTTACTCGTATTTTAGTTATTTGGCATTTGTTGTAATGTAAAGCTGGATTTTTTTGACAAAAATTGATTCTTTGAGAGGAAACTAAAGAAATGATTAACAATATGATGCATAGGTAAGTATCCGTATTTATTCCGTTTGTAAATATTATAAATACTTATAAAACTAAATGAGACTTAGATGTTAAACAAAAAGACAGTGACAACCTTGAAACAGTAGGCATTTAAGTCTCGCACGGCGCAATAGTTATCCTACTATTCTGTTTTTACTATGAACTCGCGCTGGCTGTCATTACGTGTGTGGCGTAAGGATACCAGTTTTAGACCTTACACTACCAGGTAGGGAAAATATGGGGAAGTTATGCATGTAATTGTTTTTGCTTTTTATTTGCGTATTTCGTACATACCGTACCGTCTAGTGGCGGTATAAGATTATAGTCTCGTAGCTGTCGTACATGACGACAAAGGGTAACTAAAACACCTGTTCTTTCTGATAACAATTTCGAATAATAAAAGAAATCGGTTGCCAGTAGAATTTTACAAGTGGTACTTAAAAAAAGTTGCCTCTATTTAAAAAAAAATGTTTATTAACCGATTGCTTTTAATATCAATAACTGGGAGTTCAAGTGGTGTGTGAATACGAATTGGTCGTGAAAACTGAAAAAAGTGGCCTCCTCTTCAAATAGAAATGACATGAGCAAGTAAACTATCTTAAGGGGCACTTAAAATATTTACTGTAATATTTGTACTAATAAAGACTTTGAAGACCTTTATGTTAATACATCAAAAAATTTAGTCAGATTATTTTGTTTAAAAGTCTACAGAATGTAAATACGCGACCATTTTCAGTTCGTCGATCAGGTTTGGAAAAGAAAAAAAACGACGCGACTGCAGTGGTCTTGATTTAAACTTATGTGACAAACGAACTCACAATCCACCTGATGTTAAGTGCAGCCCATAGACTTCTGCTTGCTTTTTCAAAGAAAGAATGCTACAGATATGTTGTTACCTTAGAAAACTAAGATGTAATGCCTCACAGCTATTAGTTATACTGACTATTTATAGGCACCCTTCAGACCGGAACACAGCAGCGTCACTACAGACTACTGTACTGTAATATTTACTCTATTTTTGTAATCACACTGTACTTAAATGTGAAATTTAAGATAAAGTTTAGTAAACAACTTAGTAATTACCAATGATTGTTAACGAGTACAGAGTCCAGAGTTGTTTGTTTATTTTTCTCATAGTATTGTTTACATTGTTCTAATTTATAAGGTCCTCCACCCCAATGTAATAGTTAGTTCAGTAAGTCAGTTCGACACGACAGTTACTCCAGTATGACAGTCCGTTACGATAGTCTGTTAAGTCAGTCGGTCACATCAAGTCTGAGTAGTCGTATAGTCTGCTGTAATAAATAAAATACTTCGATATATCGTCACGCTGCTGGTTGTCATTTAAAAATCCCTTCCGACCACCCGAACATTACATTTTTGGTGTCAGAAGTGGGCTCTACGTAAAAGGGCTATTGAAATATCATAGTCCGATACACGTAAAAGGCTATTGAAATATTATAGTCCTTTAGTCCTGGCGAGTATTTGGACGGGCGAGTCTCCAGTTATCAACGTCACTACACGTATTGGAGAACTCTCTGGAAGAAGGTTGAAGACAACACGCGTCGAAGCATCCAGTAGGCAGTCCTCGACAGCGGCGAAGTCAAAGGAAGACACACGAAGCAGTCACGAGTGCATCGAGTCATTGGGCCAACGTGGTTCTCCACTGGAACAGATCAGTACCACAGCGACAGGCCAGTTGATCTTCGGCGGCGTGCATAGCGACGACGTGACACAGCGAAGCAAACCGGACTCCGCAATGTATAACTACGTCATCCAAGTGAGTCGTATAACTGTTGATATATTGTGTATTTTTTGTATTTTTATGTATTTGTGTTTCATTACGAATAATAGGATTCTATCGAGACTAATATAGAATTTATAGGGAATGAATAGTGAAATTTAAAGGTTTATGCGAATATAAAAAGTAAATTAAAATTTATAATGTACACCTCAGAGGGTAAAATTTCTGTTGGGTTTATAGATATCAGTCTTGCAGAAAGGATGATTAATAAATACGATGGCAATAAGGCAAACTTACATGTGTTCATCGATAACTGCAATAATGCGTTCGCTTTATTAAATCCAGTTTATAAAATTCCATTTGTATCAGTAGTATTATCGAAAATTGAAGGCAATATTAGGTCAACGTTATTGAATAGGTCATTTTCGTCATGGGAAAATTTAAAAGAACACTTATTAGAAGATTATTCCGAAAAAGGACATTTGCACAGTGGCAATTAGAACTTAATTCGTGCAGACAAGGTCAAAGTGAAGTAAAGTAAAGGTACAGCCTATATACGTCCCCACTGCTGGGCTCAGGCCTCCCCTCATTTCTGAGAGGGTTTAGGGCAAGGAAGTGTCCGCCGCGCTGCCCAAATGCGTGTTGACGAACTTCACATGTCTTCGAAATATATTTTTTTTTTCTTATTCCTCAGACATGCAGGTTTCCTCACGATGTTTTCCTTCACCGCCGAGCACGTGGTAAATCAGCACTTAAAATTGCAATTAACAATTTCATTGGTGCCGGCGGGGATCGAACCCGGGTTACTCGCGTTCTGTTATATTTACAGCGAGCGTTAACCACTGAGCTACCACGGCTCTTAGGCTTGGCTTCAAATATATTCATTTAGACAAGGTCAAAATGAATGTATTTCTAAATACTCTAGTAGGGTTAAAAATTGCTATATAAAATTAATTAAATCGTTAGACCTCAAGTTGACAAAAGAAGCTCGCGAAGCTAATGTAGAGTTATTGAAAAAACAAGCATTAAATATTTTCATAAGTGGTCTTCTACCACAACTTCACATTTTATTAAAGTCTCAGAAACCTTCAACTTTTGAAGACGCCGTTTCTATAGCGATTTCCAAAGAACAAGAAATAAAATCCAGGCAGGAAATGAGTGCTAAACACAGTTATAATACGGGAATTAACAAATGTACAAATTGTCATAAATCAAATCATTTAGCTCACCAATGTCGAAACCAACCTATGATTAGGCAGATGTATACTAATGAAACAAATAATCATATAGCTACTTGTTTTTATTGTAAAAAAAGGCCATATATCTAAAAACTGTTGGAATAATTCAATTAACCGTAATAATAGCCATACCTCTCAGAATAATCGTTTTAATCGTACGAACAATAATGGAAATTATAGTAATCGTTATAATAAACAAAGGAATAATAATGAAAATGAACATTTAAACGAACGAGGATCACAAATTAGATTCAGGCCGAATAAGATTTATTGATACGCGTATTTCGTCATATATAAAATTAAATTCCTCAAATATATTAGGAAGTAAAAATAAGTTCCTTATTGATACAGGGGCAGAAGTTACGTTGATTAAAATAATGTCGTTAGAAGGGCAAACATTGTTATATGAAGATAAGAAAATTAAATTAAAGGGAATAGACAAAGACGCTAGTCCGACCGATTTCATCGGATTCAAATGAATTCGAAAGATCAAACTAAAACAGCGTTTAGTGTTCCATTAGGACATTATGAATATACTAGAATGCCGTTTGGATTAAAAAATGCACCTGCTACTTTTCAGAGATTGATGAATAACGTATTAGTTGGTTTACAAGGCATAAAATGTTTCGTATATCTTGATGATGTTGTTATTTATGGTAATTCATTACAAGATCATAATAAAAAATTAAAAGAAGTTTTTGAGAGATCATCTCAACATAATTTAAAACTTCAACCAGATAAGTGTGAATTTTTGAAAACAGAAGTTATGTATTTAGGTCATTTAATAACTCAGGAAGGTGTTAAACCAGATCCAAATAAGATAGAATCAGTAAAGAATTATCCTGTTCCCAAGAATCCAAAAGATATTAAAAGCTTTTAGGATTAGCTGGTTATTATCGAAGATTTATTGAAAATTTTAGTAAACTTAGTCAACCTTTAACAAACCTTTTAAAGAAAGATG